GAGTCCAGAGTTCAAGACCATCCTTGACCACATAGTGAGTTTGAGGCTAGTCTGGGCTACATTGAGACCATGCTTCAAAAAAGGAAGAAAGGAAGGAAGGAGAGAGATGGAGGGAGGGAGAGGGAAGGAAGGGAGATCTCAATGAGCACAACTTAGCTACACACTCTTTCCCTCAACACACGAATTTTCCATTACTAATGACAACGAGGTTGGTAAGGTGATTCTCTGCACTGAGGAGAATCATCTGTTCTTCTGTATGGTGCACAGAACCATGGTGGGCAGGACACACCTCCTACCTCCTAGCCAGTTTCTGTGACTGTGGGAAAGTGCTGACCAAAACCAATTTGAAGAGGAAAGGGTTTCTTTCAGCTTCCAGGTCCTCAGGGGAAGCTACAGCAGGAACTCAAGGCAGGGACTCCAAAGGCAGGAGCCGAAGCAGGAACCAAGGAGGAACACAGCTTACTGGCTTGCTTTCCAGGCTCGTGGTCAGCTTCCTTTCTTACACAGCCCATGCCCACGAAGGCACCACCAGCACTTGCCTGGACTATCCTACCTCAATTAGCCATTAGGAAAATGCCTCACAGATACGGCCAGAGGCCAATATGATCCAGGCAATTCCCCTATTGAGGGTCCCCCTTCCCTTATGACCCTGAGTTACATCAATTTGACAGCTGAAACTGACCATGACGATCATGTTGTTCATCTTTTCACTGGAAAAGTCTAGGTAGGAAACACCCTGTGAGAAAGACCCCCATCTGGACTGCTGGCTGGAGACTCAGGTGGAGGTTGGGCCCCCAATACCGCTGTTGCAGTTTGAATATGAAATGCACCCCACACACTCACTTTGAACACCTTGTCCCCAGGGGTGGTGCTGTTTGGAGAGGTCAGGACCCCTTCAGGAAGTGGAGCCTGGCTAGAGGGAGTGCTTCATCGTGGCAGGCCCTGAGGCTGTGTGGATTGGCCCCAGTCCCCTCTTTCTCTTCTTCTTCACTTCAGATACCACGTGACTCGTCAGCCTCCTGCTCCCTATGTCATGGCTTTCCTACCATGGCGGACTTAATCCCCTTGGAACTGTGAGTCAAAAGAAGTCTTTTCTCCCTTCCCTTGCTCTGTCATATTTTATTACAGCAACAGAGAAAGAAACAGAATCTATATTCAAAGGTTAAGATTGAGGCCTCCGACCCCATCGATGTAATGTATAGATGGGTCTGAAACTGAGTGGACTATTGGGAGGGCATGGTTCCTGAGGAGATGGAGTTGAAGGGAGCAGGACATAGGCATTCCTTTTCAGGGTATAGTCTATGCATTCTCTATCTATCTATCTATCTATCTATCTATCTATCTATCTACCTATCTATCCATCCATCCATCTATCTACCTGTGGTGATATTGTGTTCCCCAAAATATTGTGTACCCTAATAAACTTATCTGGGGTCAGAGAACAGACAGTCACTAGATATAGAGGCCAGAAAATGGTGGCACACATACCTTTAATCCTATCGCTTGGAGGGCAGAGATCCATCCGGATCTCTGTGAGTTTAAAGACACACTGGAAACAACCAGGCATGGTGACTCACGCCTTTAATCCCAGGAAGTGATGGCAGAAAGCAGAAAGGTATTTAAGGCTTGAGGACAAGGAACTAGAGCCTGGTTAAGCTTTTAGGCTTTGAGCAGCACAGTTCAGCTGAGATCCATTTGGATGAGGACACAGAAGCTTCCAGTCTGAGAAAACAAGATCAGCTGAGGAATTGGCAAGGTAAGGTAGGTAGCTGTGGCTTGTTCTGCTTCTCTGATCTTCCAGCATTCACCCCAATACCTGGCTCCGGGTTTGTTTTTATTAATAAGAACTGTTAAGATTCATGCTACATCTATCTACCTATCTATCTGTGTCTACCTATCATCTATCTATCTGTCTGTCTGTCTGTCTATCTATCATCTATCTGTCTATCTATCTATCTATCTATCTGTCTATCTATCTATCTATCTATCTATCTATCTATCTATCTATCTATCTATCTACCCATCTGTCTGTCTGTCTATCTATCTACCTGTCTGCCCCCGTCTGTCTGTCTCTCTGTCTCCTTCTTGCCACCATGAGTTAGCAGCTTCACTGTCACTCACCACAAATGTCCCACCATTATGTCTTGCCTTCTTTGCCACAGGGGGAGTAACAGAGCCAAGAGACCATGGGCTGGCCTGAAGCCATAAGCCAAATGTCCTCTTTTAAATCATTTTCTGGTCCTTGTCTCTGTGGTGAAAAGCTGGGTAACACACCGTTTATTCCACCAACAGCACATAATATGTTTGCACATTTCCAAAGTCTTTGCAAAAATTAAGCATTTTCACTGGGGCGGGGAACTTGTCGTGTTGAATGGACAAGGAAAGTTTATTTGACTACTTAGTTTTTTGTTGTTTTATGGTTTTTCAAGACAGGGTTTCTTTGTGTAGCCCTGGCTGTCCTGGAACTCACTCTATAGACCAGGTTGGCCTCACACTCAGAGATCTGCCTACCTCTGCCTCTCCAGTGCTGGGATTAAAGTGCGCCACCACCACCCGGCTCCTTGTGTTCCGTTAGCCATTTCTGAGGCTGGTCATTTCTCATTACTTGACTTGCTTCCTAAGCTTGCTCTTTGGAGAATACCTGATGGAGCTTTGCCATATTTTTCTTGGGACAGAATGATGGGATTACCTCTTAAAAATTGATCCATGAGCAGTATCATTGCCCATGTCATTAATCAGCAGCTCATTCTAAGTGCGTCATTGTCTCTGATTCCACACTGGGTAGAAAATTCCCAGCCCCTGACCTTGCTCAGTCCTTAGTCACTGTGGCCCTTGAAATTCACCAGTGAATTGACTGTGTGCTCCACTGACCCCTTCCGGTGCTGAGACAGCACTATGGGCAGGACCTCTAGGAAGAGGACATGGTCCTGGGTAAGTGTTCTTGTCTCACCATCACTGTGTCCCAATTCCATCCGCCCCCTCACACAGAGAGCATGAAGACTCTCTCAGGGATTAACAAACTACACATTATACTTGAGGAATTATTTGACATTTCAATTGCCCTGAAGTGTGAAAGGGTTCTACTGTGTTCAGACTCAAATTCATCACGAGCATTCATAATGTCCTGGTTAGGAGCCCATTTTTCATTTTCCTCCATATATCATGAGCAATTTCCTTTTGCAGCTGGAAGACAGTGTTTCAGTTATACATCCTGGAAAGAATAGTTTGTGCCTGGTAATCAAATCAGCCAATGATTAATCCTCCTTAAATCATGCTTAGTGCCCGCATAAAGAATCTTTAAAGGTTTCTTTCCCCGAGGATTATGTAACCGGAGTCTGTGTGTGCTAATAATCTCAACGGGGCTGAACACAGAGAATGGTGGGCAGAGCACAATGGGACAGGAAAGAGAAGAGCATTTATGAGGTTAAGTGAAGCATGTTGCCCTCCTTAGAGGTCAGCAGCATAAGCCCTGATAAAGAGAAGCCATACATTTTTATCTTCACTTAAGTTATTTTTATAACATACATTAGAAAGATAGTTGGTTAAAATGTTTGTTACTTCCAAAACATATTTATCCAAAGGAGATGATTTGCATAGCTAATGAATACCAGGAAGAAGTGAGCCTCATTCTTACAATGTGAGGAAAAGCAGCAGAGAATGTACTTGCCTGCTTCGCATGGTGCCTGAATCAGCTTTGTCTGCCAGTACCAAAATACCGAACTACATGCCCTACTTTGATTTTTGAAAATTCTATAGATAGGGTCATGCTGTGTAGCTGTGGCTGAAATGTACGTAGCCTCAAACTCACGACCCTACTGCCTTTGTCTCCCAAGTGCTAGCTTTATAGGCAGGCACCACTGGTTGGCTCGTTTTTCTTTTTGTAAACTATATTTTATGTTATATATAAGTTACATGTATTTGCCTACACCTAAGTCTGCACCATATGTATGCCTGGTACCTAGGAAGGCCAGAAGATGGAAGGCCTCAGATCCCCTGGAACTGCAGTTATAGACAGTTGGGAGTCAACATCTGGGTACTGGTCTCTTGGAAGAACTATCAATATTCTTAAGCACTGAGCCATCTCTCCAACCTCCTACAATTCACCAGGAAAAGAGAAAGAAAATATGCTTCACTTCATGCTCCATGCTTGTTAGGCAAGCGCCCCAGCCCAGCATTGCATTTTCAAAAGTTCATATGGGACCACTGGGGTCTTTGCCTGGCATAGATGTGGACTGGCTGTTCTCAGGTCCCTTAAACATGATCACACCAACAGTCCTCAGATGTAGAACTAGCTGCTTGCTAATACTAAATCTAACACTAAAAACTAAAGTCTCTTTAGAGTGCTTCCCGCTGTCTCTCTCTGTGCTGAGAATTGAACCCAGAGCCTGTGCATTCAAGGCAAGTGCTCCTACTGCCGAATAATAGTCTCATCTCTAAAAAAGATTTTCTATTCTAATTTTAGTTTAGAAATGAAATGACTTTTGGAAACACTTAAGGAAGGAAGGATTTGTTTTGGCTTACAGTTTGAAGGTACAGTTTCATGTCGGCCTGACACAGGAGCTTGCTTGAGTCTGACAGGTCAAGAAGCAGAGAAAGGGATGCCAGCATCAGTTGACTTTCGTGGTGGAAGAAGGAGAGATGTTCCCTATAGTCTCAGGCATTTGAATGCCTGGCCCCCACTCGGCCGCGCTGTTCAGGAAGGCTGGAGAGGAATGGTCTTGTTGAAGGAAGGTGTCACCGGAGACGGGCTGTGAGAGTTTAAAGACTCAAGCCATTGCCAGATCTGTCTCTCCGTTTTTGTGCTTGGGTCAAGATGTGAGCCTTCGCTCTACCTTCATGGACTCTAACCCTCTGGAATCCTAAGTCCTAATAAACCATTTCTTCTGTAGGTTGCCTTGGTCATGGTGTTATACCGCAGCAATAGACAAGTAATTGATACCTTTTTCTTCTTTTTCTCTTTTTATTCAGCCCATGTGATGGTACTGCCCCACATTCAGGGTAGGTCTTCTTTGCAGCAGTTAGACCTTTCTGGAAACACCTCCAAACACATCCCCAGAAGTGTGTCTCCTGGGTGCTTCAATCCAGCTGTGCTGACAATGAGGACTCATCATCTTAGACACACCACAGAGTTAAATCTAGATCCTGTAGATGAAAGAACTGCTATTTTATCTTTCTCCCTTCCCTAGTACCTGTCCCTGCCCTCCTTTAGATATTTCCCTCTTCCCTCCGCTCAAGCTTCCTGAAAAGTTTAAACCCCTAGTGGTGAGTAACTCCGATGATGTGATAAGACAGATCAGGCTGAATTAGTAAGTCCAGGTTTAATCTGATCAGAGCATTCCTGGGTGGCCCCAGGGGAAGAGGAGAAGCCATGAAGGAAAACCTCACAGGGAAGTCTTGGGCAGGACGTTAAATACCCTCCAGGGGTGGAACAGCGGCATGGTGGGCTTTCTTGGGGCCAGGGTTTGGAGAGGGCAGCTCCAGGGGAGATCCCCAACATCCCAACCTTTGGGAGTATATGTAGATGCCGATTGGGCTCCCACCTAAACAGTTCCCCTTTTATTTCCATTCCATATATGTGTATATGAATATATGTATATATCTATATTTAACATATTAGAAAAAATGAGTGTTTGTCTTCTGAGCCTGGCTTATTTCACTCAACAAGATTGTGCTGGATAGTTTTATATCAACACGACACAAGCTAAAGTCATCTGAAGGGAGGGAACCTCAGATAAGAAAACGTCCCGTAAGATCAGACGGTAGGCAAGCCTGTGAGGCATATTCTCAATTAGTGATTGATGAGGGAGGTCCCAGCCCATTGTGGGTGGTGCCCTCCCTGGGCAGGTGGTTCTGGGTTCTATAAGAAAGCACGCTGAACAAGCCTTGATGAGTAAGAGTCAGTAAGCAGCTCCCCTCCATGGCCTCTGCATCAACTCCTACCTCCAGGTTCCTGCCCTGCTTGAGTTCCTGTCCTGGCTTCCTTTGATGATGAATAGTGCTTCAGAAGTGTAAGCTGAATACACCCTCTCCTCCCAAAGTTGCTTTGGTCATGGTGTTCCATCACAGCAATAGTAACCCTAACTAAGACAGTGGTGATCTCTAGTTACATCCATTTTTTTTCTGCAAATAACCTAATTTCACCCTCTTTTACTGCTAAAGAAAACTCCATTGTGTGTATATACTACGTTTTCTGTATCCATTCATCTATCAATGGGCATATAGGCTAGTCCCATTAGATATGAGAGATTTTTTTTCAATGTTTGTTTTAAAAATCTAGCACACAACAGGAAGGACACTTTAAGGATGTTTTCTGAGGGACCTGTGATGGGTCTGACACTAAGAGTGATTCACAGCTTACTCGAAGCTTCCGATGTTGGTTGTGAGGAGTCTGAAGACTTTCCATGAAAGCAGGAAGGTGACCAGGCACCTGTCCTTCCCGGTCACTCTGCACCTCAAGGCTTTATTGACACCTTCCTGTAAAGCAGAGAGTACCTTATCAGTGGGACTCACAGAAAGGTCAGCAAACCTCAGTTTCCCACCATGTCAACCAACCTTGGTTGTATCGTCTAGAAAGAGGAGACCATGGCTATACTGAACTTCTCATGGTGAGATTCAGCAATCTTTATGTACATGGACATCATACGTGCCAGCAATCATTTTTATTCCATATATATCCACACATCCATCTACATATCTATATGTTAATATGAAAGTCGGTCCAGAAGGGAGATAGAAATGATGGCTTTCAACCTTGGTGGGATGTGAGGTAGGACAGAAATGTTTTTGTACTAACTATTTATTGTAGCCGGTGCCTAGAATAGTCTAGACAAGCACTCCACAGAACTATGTCCCTAGCCTCCTCCTACCAGACCTTTGGCCTCCTGCTCTTACATTGGTGGGGTGGGGTGGAACTGGTCACCAGACTCACAGACATGGCTGCAGAGGGCTGCCCTGCACCGACCCCACCGTCCTGCTGCTTCCGGTCCCAGTGGGTGTGACGGCCAGTGAGCAGGGACACTTTCTGAGGGAATTTGTGTCACACCCGTGTGTTCCGTTTTGACAGTTTCTCCTTCTTTCCTCCTTTTTAAACATTTCTAATGATTTATCTATTCCCTGCATTGGTGAGTTGCCTGTTTGTACATCAGTGTGAGGGTGTCAGATACCCTGGCACTGGAGCTGCGGACAGTTGTGAGCTGACTTACAGGTGCTGGGAATTGAACCCGGGTCCTCTGGAAGAGCAGCCAGTGCTCTTAAGTGCTGAGCCACCTCTCCAGCCCCTTTTTCTTCCTTTCTTTTTTAGATTTATTTCTTTTGTGTATGCGTGTTTTGTCCACATGTACATCTGTGGACTAGGTGTGTGCCTGGTGCCCAGGGAGGGCAGAAGAGGGCGTCAGATCCCCTAGAAATGGAGTTACTGATGGTTGCAAAAAAACCCCCCAAAAATAAAAATGGGTGCCGAGAGCGGAACCCATGTCCTCTTTGCAAGATCAAAAAGTTCTCTTAACTGCTGAGCCATCTTTCCAGCATCCATTTTGTCCATTTCTTGCTTGAGTAGAGGTATGGGTGTCTATACCACAGATGATGCATGGCATCTTTAATCTGTGTGGAATTACACATAGCTGGACATCTGCCTCCGACAATTCCTACATCCCTACTCATGGGGAATGAGCAGCTTTTGCTGTCTCTGACATCAAATTCTATCACACGGAAAATCTCCTGTTACTTCGCATCCTACCCTTTAACACGCCACTCCTCTGACTTACTCAAGTTCATCTCTCACGTGGGAAGATGGGACCATGGCACTTGGGACTCTCTATCTGTAAGTAAGCCTGGAGCTGGAGAGACAGGCGCTCTCTGATCTGTCCCTTCCCTCTGTCAGAAGGTACATTCCCATAGAAAAATAAAAAATGAGGACTCACATCTTGGCAAACCTGAATATATATATATATATATGTTTTCATATATATATGAAAACAAAACAAAACTCTTGAGATTGCAGTTGTCTAGACAATGTGGGACAAAAGTTCACTGTGCCAGTAAGAAAATTCTGACTGGGACAGTGAGTGTCATGTGACTGCCCCACCCTCAGCAGCCTCAGAGGCGACACTGTCTCCTTCCCTCTGTCATTCTTCGGCAACAGCCAGATCTACCACTTTATAAAAATGTAAACGTATTTAGTGTGTGGGGGTGTGTGGGCATGCCACGATGCCCACGTGGAGGCCAGAAGATAGCTTGTAGGAGTCAGTTCTCTCCTCCTCGGAGTAGGTCCCTGGGATGGAACCCGGGTCCTCTTGTGTGACAGTCAGGACATTGACTCACAAAACCATCTCACCGGCCCCAGGTCTACTTCTTCTAGGGCAGCAACAAGAAGAGAAATAACGCTACTGCTGCATTTGTTTTATGCTTGAAAATTGTGCCAACTCGATTATGGAATCACTTGTGAAAAACAGTACAGAAACAGAGGCCCTGTGGCCATCTTGAAGGGAGAGCAACCTGTTTTCCGGCACTTGCCTACTGCTTCGACCTAGATGTTAAGGTGGTGAGTGCTGCCCGCAGTTTGCCTCCACACTGGGAGGAGTGGCCAGTGGGAACACACTTTAAATAACCGGAAGATAGGTGAAGGTGTTGGGTGAGTCAGCCCTGAGCGGGAAGCTTCAGAGCCCAGCTGTTCACCTGCCTGTCAGGCTACACTGTCCTCGTGATGGTGACGGATGTTCCCGTCAGTCTTCGTTTTCTAAGTGACCTTATTGTGGATCACAGAGGGAGGTCTATGCTCTCACGGAGGACTGGATCACAATGACCAAAATGTTTCCTAGCTTCCCCAAAGACCCTTTAAGACCCCGGTGGTGGGGATGGATGTCTGCACCTTTGTTGGTTGTTGGAAGATGCTGCTAGTCCGAGGGCTGTCTCCAGGAGATCAAGGGGCAACAAAAACGAGCAGCAGTGGTCAGGATGGGGTGCGTGGGCGCCCCCAAGGCATTGCTACCTATGTGCTCTCAGAAAGCACCCCTGTTTCTGGGGCTGGTGCTAATTCTGGAGAGTTCTATCCAGAGGCCTCTGCCAGAGCAAATCTGAAGCCACACTGCACATACCCTCTGCTATGTTGGTCTCTGAGATTCTCCGCTTTTACGGATGCAAACCAATCAATCCCCAGCTCTGAGTGGGCCCAGGACACCTCCCGTTTTGTATCAGCTGCCCCTTCTGGTGTTTTCCCCACATTGCAGAGGAGGCAAGCAGAACAGAACGTGCCAAAGTGTTAGAATCTCACCAGGGAGGCCCACCTTCGTGAGCCAGGCCCACGACGGTGAACTCTTTCAAGTGTGGTTCTCAGGCCTGGGTGTGCTGAGACTAACATCTGAACTTCCGTGACCTGTCTCCTAGGCCCAGCAGAATCTGAGGAGCACAGACAGGGTCACTCTGCCCACCTTGAGTAACCTTTGGGACAGAGGCTGAGAGAGTACTGAGCAGGACATGAGTGTGGAAGCCACAATGGAAGCAGGAGAGCAGCGAGAGACAGGAGGCCAAGGGCCAGGAGAGGAAGAAAAAAACACTTCTTGGCTTCTTTGGGACACAGGAAACCCCTGTGGCCTCTTAAACCTGAACTTCCGACTTACAGACCTGTGAAGGAAAAAAGAGAAAGAAAAAAAAAAAACAAAAACAAAACCGTATGCTGCCCTGCATGACAGTTAGTGTCTTACCTAGGAATCCTTGCCTCCTCTACAACAGGGAATTCCTGAGAATGAAGTGTGCCATGTCCAGCTTTTGGGTCACCCTGGAGGGCACAGTTGGCACCGATTGCTGGTCTGGCCACAGAGGATATGGTGGTTTGAATGAAGGTGCCCCCCCCCCAGGCTCATAGATTTGAGTAGTTGGTAGTTGATAGAGCTGTTGGAGAAGGATGGAGGTGGGGGGTGGGGTGGGGTGGGGTGGGGTGGGGTGGGGGTGTCCTTGTTGGAGGAGGTACCTCACTGGAGGCTGACTTTAAAGTTTCAAAAGCCCATGTTATTTCCAGTTATCATCCCCCCCACACACACACACACACACTTGCAGATAAAGGTGTAAGTTCTCAGCTCTTCCTGCCTCCCGGCCTTTGCTCCTCCATTGTGACTCGAACCCTTGAAACTGTAAACTGAAATTAAATGCTTTCTTTTATAAGTTGCCTGGGTTGTGGCATTTTATCACAGCAAGAGAAACCTAAAACAAAGGGCCACTTCAGCTCGACACAGAGGGGGGTCATATGCTAAGCCTGGGACCTTAACCGCCCCTGGGGTCTTAATACAGCAGGAGGTCAAAGGTCATCAGGAGAGGTTGTTTACTCTCCTTCAGGATTTAGTATGATTTCTGTGTTTCCTTTTCTTCCCAAGGCTTTGACAGAGAGGGAGAAAATAACTTTTGAGGGTTGTCCTGAGTCTGCAGGGCGACCGTACAGGGTCGACTGGCATAATCAATGTGGACAGTGTTAGCTCCATCCTCAGTGAGACCAGACATCATGCCTGTGAGTATGACCTTGGGGGTCACAGAAGACAAGGCAGTGCGGCCAGGCCTACGGAATCAGAAAGCAGCTCCTGTTCCACGGAACGACACAGTTCTCACCTCATGAAGCTCACCCTCGGACCCCCATGTGTGGAATAACCAGCTTATTCCAGCAGCCTACGAAAGTTCTGGAAGAAGCATTTCCTTTCCCCGTGCATGGCAGGGCCTACCAGTCCACCACAGAATGAGAAACTGGAACAGCTGATTGCGTCCTCGAGGCCTGCAGATCCAGGCACCAAGAACATTATTTCATAGCACGGCCTCCTAATTGACCCCAGACCTACTTCCTCCTGGAATTTTTCACAAAGCCTTCTAAGGCAAGAGGCAAGAGGAGTCCAGCCCTCCAGAACAGCGCAGCCTCCTCCCCTGCACTGGGGTTTCTGACTGTAAAGTAACAGGAGACACAGCTTCCCTGGAGTGCATCCAAGAGCTGTACTCCCCCTCCCACAGCTCCTGAGTCATAGGGATCCCCGCTCCCCCTCCCCCATAGCCTTTGGTAGGAAAGAATTCCACTGGCAGGGAGGGAGCCATCTCAGAGGCTAGGGTGGTGCCAGACTCAGGGCTGAGCTCCTCCTTCAGTCACCCTTGCTGCCCTGCATGCTGACCGCACACTGGACCACAAAGCATTCCTCTTCCAGGTGGACTGCATGCCTTGGACAGGGACTCCATGGTCTGTCCCGGCTGTGCCCCCCTTGCCCTTCCAAAATGCGTGCAATGCAGGAGCAGAAATGCCAAGCCAACCACCCTGTGGTCTCCACGGTACCCACACAGCCTTTTCCCACAAGCTGTCCCTTGTTTCTTGTCCAGCATGAAGGAGGATTAAAGCGGTTTCTGGTTTCTGCCACTGTGTACTGTGTACTGCTGTAGCGCTGGCTGATAACAATGGTGCGTTCTGTAGCCCCGAGTCCAGGCCAGGACACCGCTTATTGGATGCATTATGATCCAGGACATGCACCACCCTCGTGGGCTAAGCTTTAGAAAAGGTCAATTCCTTTACAGTGTTTTTTACTTCCTCTCAAAATGACCTTAAGTGGTCACTTTGCTCTTTCTGATTCTGAAGTCTGCCTCATTTACATCCGCCCTTTCTTTCCAAATGTCCCAGCAATTATGTCTCCCCCCACCCCACCCCCCACCCCACCCCCATCTCCCTGGGGAAAATCTCGGCTCACAATGTCAGTGCTGCCCACCGCTTTTATCATTTTTTTCTTTCCACTGGAGGGAGGTCTTTTTAAATAGTTCTTTTTTTTTTTTTTGAGAACTCGATACGTGCATGCAACATATTTTGATTATATTCACATCCTGCTGTGCCTCCTAACTCAGCTCAGATCCATCCTCACCCTCGACACTCCTTTTTCTCTTTGTAGTCCACTGAACGTGTGCTGCCCTTGTACTGCTGGGTGTGAGGCCCCTCACTGGGTGTGGTCAGCTTGGTAGGGGACGCACCCCGAAGAAACCCAGCTTCCCCTTCATCAGCAGACTTTAACTGTCTCTGGCTCCCTCCCTAGCTCACTCTAAATGAGCTGGGTTCAGTTTTTGTCCGAATGACCTTCCTATCGGGGAAAGTGGGGTGTTGAAGTTACCCACTATCACTATGTGACGGTCAGTGTGTGCTTTTAGGTGTAGTCGTGGGTTTTGTTTGTTTGTTTGTTTGTTTATGAACTTGGATGCCCTGGTGTTTGGTGCATGGATGTTTAGAATTGCAATAACCTGTTGGTGAATTTTCCCTTTGACGAGCATGTAATGTATTTCTCTATTCTGATTAGTTTTGGCTTGAGGACTATTTTGTCAGGTATTAAAATGGCTGCCCCTGCTAGCTTCTCGAATCCATTTGCTTAGAATAAAGATATTCCATCCTTTTGCCCTAAGGTGGTGTCTGTCCTCGATGTTAATGTGTTTGCTGGATGCAGCAGAAGGATGGATCTGATTTTCTAAACCAATCTGTTAGTCTGTGTCTTTTTCTTGGGGAACTCAGACCATTAGCATTGAAAGCTATCAATGAGCATGTCCACTGACCCCTGGTATTTTGTTGTCGTGGTGTGGGTTTTCTTCCCTCTGTTGACTTACTGGAATTATTTATTCCTTGTTTTCCTGGGTGTGATTCATCTCTTCAGATTGGAGTTTTCCTTCTGTGGAGCTGGATTTATAGATAGATACTGCTTAAATTTGGTTTTATTATGAAATATTTTCCCCTCTCCATCTATTGTGTTGGATAATTTTGCTTTGTGGAGTAACCTGGGCTAGCCTTTGTGGTGTCTTAGAATCTGTAGAACATCCATTCAGGGCCTTCCCACTTTGAGAGTCTCCATTGAAAAGTCGTGTGTTAGTCTGTGGGTCTGCCTTTATAGGACACTTGGTCTTCTTCCCTTCCAGGTTTTACTAATCTTTCTTTGTTCTGCATGTTTACTGTTTTTGAATATTATGTGTCAAGGGGAATTTCTTTTCTGGTCCTGTTTATTTGGCATCCTTTATGCTTCTTGTACTCTGCTAGGCACCTCCTTCTTTAGGTTAGAGACATTTTCTTCTATGATTTTGATGAGAATGTTTTCTGTGCCTTTGACCTGAATTTCTTCTCCTTCCTCTATTCCTAAAATGTGCAGATTTGGTCTTTTCATGGTGTCCCAGATTCCTTGGGTGTTCTGTGCTTGGATTTTTTTTTTTTTTTTTTTTTTTAGATTTAACATTTTCTTTGATTGCAACATCTGTGAAGGGGCCCCAAAATGGCTTGACCACACAGCAGCCATGACAGGTTTAGGAGCCTAGACACAGTCTCTGTGACAGGCTTACTGACTGGCAGGCAACACCCAGATCCAGGAAAAGCCTTAAGCTGATACCACCCAGGGATCTACCCAGGGGTGAGGAAGTACCTGACCTCCCAAAACATTCCAACCATTAGATAAGGTGGCCAGATGTCCTTGAGTCTAGCACATACTTATTGTTTGTTTTACAGATACCCCTAGACAATTGTCAGCCAATCAGGGTTCTGGACCCTGGAAATCCCCTCACCCCAACCTCTGCTATGATAAAAACTCTGCCCCGCCTGAGCTCAGGGCTCTCTGCTCTGTCAGACAGACAGAGGGACCAAGCTCTGGAGCTTGAAGTAAAGGCTCTTTGCTTTTACATGCGGGACCCAGTCTCTGTGGTGGTCTTTTGGGGGTCCCTGCGATCTGGGCATAACAATATCCATTTCTTCTACCTTGCTTTCAATGCCTGAGGGTCTCTCTTCCATATATTGTATGCTGCTGGTGAAGCTTACCATTGGGGTTTTTATTTGATTTCCTAAATTATTCACTTCCAGTTTCATCTCAGTTTAGGTTTCCATTAGTGATCTATTTGTACTTTCATGTCTTGAACTGTTTTTACTATTTCATTCACAGACTTCACTAAGGGATTCATTCATATCCTGTTGAAGGCATATATATATATATATATATATATATATATATATATATATATATATATTCATTCATAATGGCTTTTTTTGAAGTCCTTGTCTTGTGGTTCAGCTGTAGTGCATTTCTCAGGGCCTACTCTGGTAGGGTTACTGGGTTCTGTGGAGGCATATTGTCCTGGCTGTTCACGTTTGTGTTTCTGCACTGGTTTCTAGAGAGCTGGAGGAGTTAGGGTGATTGTGACTCTAGGTGTTGATATCTGGTCTCATCTGTGTCTGACTGTTCTGTCCCTTGGTTTCTGTTGCTCTCTCTGGATCTTTGGAAAGTGTGTTGGCTGTGGTTGCCTGGTAGAGAGTGCTTCCGAGGGTAGGTGGGTGGCAGTGAGGAATAGGCGTAGGCTAGGAGAAAAGTTGAGGTGGCGTGGAGGACTTCAGGACGGAGATAAAGGGATCCTGTCCACACAAAGTTGTGGGAAGCTGGAGTTGGAGGTGTGGTGGGAAGAGGGAATCCAGCAAGTAGGCTGTTGTAAGACAGAATAATCTGGACAGGCAGGGCTCACAGGGCTGGGGAGACCCTGGAATCTCTGGTAATGGAGTCGAGGTGGGAGGAGCTTGTGAGAGGACCATGGAGAGATGCAGGACAGGAAGGAAGTGTGACTCTCCTGAGACCCTGCCAGGTGTGGCCGCTGGGGCCTCAGGTGGAAAGTGTGCCAAGGAATGGGGGTGGGGTAGGAGCGAGGCCTGGGGGGGCCTGCTGGAGGAAGTCAGCTGGGTTCAAAGTGGGGTGCCTAGGAAACGGAGGCGGGGTGGGAGGAGAGGCACCTGCAAGTGCCTGCCTCGGGGCGGGGTGGAGACGAGACTGGAGAGGCTGTCATGGAGTCCAGGAAGGATCGGGACAGTTGCCTACCTGAGGGCCAGCCTGGTGCGGTCACTGGATGTAGGGCCCTGGTCTCCTCTCATATTGAGTAAAGCCGTT